GGTTATTGAAAAAATCAAAACCAACCCTGACGACAGAAGAATCATCATGTGTGCTTGGAACCCAAAAGGTTCTGAAGACCTTCCACGGATGGCGCTGTCGCCCTTCCATGCCCTTTGCCAGTTCTATGTGGTAAACGGTGAACTGTCCTGTAAACTGTACCATAGGTCAGGAGACATGGGCCTGAGGGTGCATTTCAACATTGCCAGCTACGCCCTGCTCACCTACATGATTGCACACATGACAGGACTGAAGCCAGGTGATTTTGTACATACTTTGGGAGATGCACATGTTTACATAAATCACATTGAGCCCTTGAAAGTTCAGCTCCAGCGAGAACCAAGATCTTTCCCCAAGCTCAACATTCTTCCAAAAGTTGAGACAATTGATGATTTCAAAGTTGAAGACTTTCAGATTGAAGGATCCAATCCTCATCCGACTATTAAAATGGAAATGGCTGTCTAAAGAGCCTGTCAAGGGCTTGTTTCAAGGAAGATGTTGTCAACTGTGAGGGTGGGGCTGGGTGCCCAGACAGAGCATTCTTTTTATTATAAAAGACAAAAGAATTAGGTCAAAACCCTGTTGGGTTACCTATCAGTTAGTCATTATTAAAAACGGCTTCCTTTGAACCATGCTGCCAATAATAATATAACCCTGCCAGCTTTTCTAACAAAAAATCTTGAGCTTTGTCAACTAACTCACTGAGGATGTATGAAAATGGTGAAATTATGTTAGGAAAGTGAAAAATTATGTACCAAGTTCTTGCCTTAAAATAATTGCATTTGACTAAAGCACTCCCAAACTAACATTTGCTGTTGGTTGGATGCTACTCATAGAATTACAATCTATATTTTAGAAATGCAGACTAAATTATATTTTGTCCTGTTTATCTTTGATTTCATTAAATTATATTTTGTCCTGTTAAAAAAAAAGCTATTTGACAGAATCCAGAGTTGGATATGATACCAGGTTCCCTTTTGAAAGCTTGTAAGCCAGTCACTTCTTGCCTTTGTAGTACCTCCCTCCCCATTTGAGTA